AATCACAACCTGAGAGGTTAGAAGAATCAGAGTATTTGTTCAACTGACTTAATTTAAGGCCTAATGAGTCAGTCAGGTTTAGGGACCTTTGAAAAACACAAATTAAAAAAGTAGTCATTAATCAGCTGGGAAAATGTCCAATCATTTGCGCAAGCCAAATTAACTTTTTTATCTTTTTCAATATGTTAAATTCAGCAAATAAATAGTAATTGTTCATTCAAGTTTGGAGAAAGATGTCATTTTTACATTTGTGCCATGTAGGTTATCAACTTGGTTTTACTTAGAGATTCACTGAAAATATACAATTTCAGTAGTAATTGCGATTTTACAATGCATGTTTCATATTAAATCTGAGTAATGTGAGTGAAAAGAATGCTGCTTATATTAAAATTTTAAAAGGCTAGATATCAAAACATTCCCTTGGTACCTACAAATTTAATAGCCCTGTAGTCAGTGGTTATATTGTGTGACCGATGGCTTCAATTACACAGTCTGCTTCAGCTGAACTCCTTTTTATGGACATTAATGATGGATACTGTTGTCATTATACAGTATGAGAAGTGGGATTTCCTATTGTAGTAAGGAGAATGGGTTATCTGTGAAAATACAGTGGTATATAAAGATCTAGTCACACTTGTTAACATTAAAGTACAAATGTTTTAGACTGGCATATTACAACAAAAAAAAAATATTTAGATGTACAAGTGATAAGGCACAACAGTAAAAGTACCATATGATCTTTGAACATATCAGATCTTGAAGTAAATGCATCTGTAAAAGCAGGGGAAATACTGTAGGTTATATGTGGTTCAGGAAAAAAAAAACAGGTAATCAGTTGTTAAAGAATGCAAACTGTGGAACTTAAGGATTTTGTAGCACTTCCAGGTTCACATGGGTCTCAGGTCGGCCTTCTACTGCTGGGGCTCGAACCTGGGCCTCTGGCGTCACTCAGCAGGGAACCAGCCAGCTGAGCTAAAGGAAAATCTCCCCCAGCCTGCTGGCTGAGGTCCATGTATTCACAGGGAAGGGCGGTGACATCACCACGCTGGCAAGTCGGCTCGCACAACCTGTAATGTCGGCCGTATGCGTTACAATATGAACAGATATAGATTACGTTATACCAATGATGGGAATATCTAGAAGTAGGACATCAGTGGGTATAGTCCAAGATTCCAATTATAAAAATATGCAAAGGATGTGCTACGTACTAGATGTTACATGAGCACATTGTGTAAATTCTTTGACCGTACTTTATGCTGTGAAGAGTCGGTAGCTGATTTGTTTTTATATGGGGATAAAAAAGGCTGATATTTACTCTGCGCTATGTTGGGAAGCTGGGAAGCTATTAGGATGATGCTCTTTGGATCCATCAAGATTCTCTGCCACCAATTCTGGTGTCACTTTGTGTATTTTATCATTTAGCATTAAGATTAAGCTGGACTCATTGAGTTCTCAGTAAAGAGGATACTTAATGCTAAAGAGAAGTTTTTCTAGAGGGATTTTATTCTTACACTATATGTAAAATACTTTAATCTATCTACTATATACTTACAGTATATCTATATCTATCCACTATACTTATACTTTGATCATTTTGCAAAGTCTTTCTGTGTACATGAACTGAAAGGGAGATCTCTGACCTTCTTCAATCTGGTTTTCCACCTCAGTATGCAGTATGCATAATTCACATTTATATGTAGTATTCATGCCCTGTGATGGACTGGCATCCCATCCAGGGTGTGTCCTGCCTTGCACCCGCTGCTTGCTGGGATAGTCTCGAGCTCCCCCGTGACCCTGTATAGGATAAAGTGGTTAGAGAATGGATGGGTGCACGTAGCATTCATGATGTTTTGTGGGGTGGGCCTCTGGAAAGTCTGCTGTAGAATGATCTACCACTCTGCACAGCCTCAGAGAGCAGGCAAAGACTGGCCACTCATGGATGTGTCCTGTTGATGCCGTCGATTGGCCAGCCTCCACCAGCTGTACAGAAGGAGTGGCCAGTCTTCGCAAGGTCAGCCAGGCTCTACAGATATTCAAAGTCCGTTCCTTGATAGGCCTATTAGAAAATCAGACATTTCAGATCATCTTATGGGTACAGAAACCTGTTGGCTGGAGGATGTCAGTGTGCAGCTGTGCAAGAAGGTTGTATTGAATCTGCACCAAGTCTCAAGAGGTTCGCCCCACATTAAGACTCTGCCCTCCCAGTTGGCTTGAACAGTCAGCATTATGCAAGTCAACTTGGAATCTCCACCTGCATTCCACTTACATGCAGGTTATTCCTAGAATTTCTTCCACTGTTCTCTGCAGGCAACAACAAGATTTTGGTAACATGATGACCAATGCCAGATACAGTATTCTAAGCGATGTCTTACAGCACGTTTGAGTGTGGCTTAAAGCTTTAGCATACTTTTTATATTAAGTAGGAAGTGTTAGTTTGGCTTAGTTGAAAGTGTTAATGTTCAAGCAAAGGACTTCCAGTTTTTAAGGACAGCAGCGAAAACATCATTATCTTGGAGTTGGTACAGATGTCACATTTCTAATCAGATGTCAATAAACTGTATCAGCCATAAAGAGTGCAATAATTGAAGTAGAACCTATGTTATCTATATGTGTAAATAGTAAATGTAATTCAAAATCATTTATCGAAATTATGACATGGATCCTTTCTTTTAGAAGTCATCATTATAAGTGACAGTATATTTATCTCTTCCTGTCTGGTCTCCAGAAAGAAGTATGTCTGGTATTTTTAACAGCTATGACTGTAAAGTTTGCTGTTGCTGGTGTGTTCCAGTAATTCCATTCAGTTATGTGTGAGAAATGCTTGGAGATGCAGACTTTTGAAAGAAGAATTACCAAAGGTTTCCAAGTTAAAGAGTTCAACTGTGATTTTCCTGACTGATGCTTTCTCAATATTATCAGGATTATCTGACAGCAATGTCTGATGTTGTTTATATTGGTGGTAGGTGGACGCACAGATCTTATTGCTAGCTGAAAATTAGACTTTTCAAAAAGTGTTCCATGACATGATAGACTGTACAGAATAAGCATGTAGTCTGTGCAAAAAACTGTTTTATTTGTTGTGCTAATTATTGTGTATTTAATGGTTAGTTAAATTGTGTTTATTTTATCGTTCTTTGGCACTAAAATCCCTGGGTTTATAATAGAAGCCGCACAGAAGGACGTAATCCATTCGTGCAAGCTGCCGGCACATAATTTCATTTTCCAAAGCTGCATTCCCCTGATATGCTGCCCTGCTGCTCTTCCAAGAGATTATTTTTAAAAGAAATTCTGGGTACCCCCTTTTGGCTTCAAATGCACAGACTTTGACATGGCCGCCTCTAAATTAAAGCAGTGTCAGGGGTGATTTTGGGAATCAACAGCAGTTTTTGGGGGGTTAATGTTCCAAGGAATGGTTCAGATTTATCTTTTGGGTTTTATTGGGGATTATGGGGAATGTGGGAATTTACATTATCTGTCAGGGCTTAGTACCACAATTATCCCCCTGGAGCATTTTCATTAGTGTAATGTTTGAAGATCCTTAGAATTATGTAAGAATGACGCTCATGAGATTCAGAAAGCAAATTCTCGATTTGTCAACCAAAGAGTTTTCTTTTGCTCCGAAAAATATCAGTTTAACTAAATGGACCTCTTGCAACCTACATAGTTGCTGGACGGCACATAGTGTAGTCCTGTAGTGTACAAAATGAAGTACAAAAAATATCTAACTATAATGCAAGCAGCTATGGGCATTGCCCCACTGAATAAACGCGAACTTCTTCCTCAGAGTCGGAACTACAGCCTCTGGAAACAAGCAGGGTGAGTGTGGAAACAGTTTTTGCTGGAATGGGTTGAAAGTTATGAGTTTGTTAGGCAGGAATGAGAATTTCAAAAACAAAATGGGCATTCAGAGCAAAATGTTAATTAACAAACAATCTTTTTATGATTAATGTTATTTGTTGAAGATGAACGGTGTGGCAGTGTGAGAGTTAAGGTACCCACACAGTTTAATACCAGTTGTGCTAGAGAAGATGAAGCATTTAGGAAAGATCAACACTACAGCAGCCACAGCTATCACAGCTATGCAGTGTAATGCAGTGTTATTTGGTGCTGGGAAAGCATTATGTTTAGGGTGCTTTGCAGGAAAAGTGTTGTTAAGCCCTGCTTTGTAAAACTATAGTGTGCCAAGGTTCTAGATGTTAATTTTATTTTCATTTTATTACCTTGATCAAATTATATGATAATTAAACATAGCATATTTCAATATTCTGTTGTTTTGCTTTTAAAAAGAAAAGCTAAAATGTTTTCCAAAATAGTTCACATGTAGTATTGTGGCAGGTACTGTGTTTTAACGGCTATGTTAAATAATTATGTCTTTTTACATTGTGAGGAACTGAGGCAAGGACAAACAGTGAGAAACATATCAGACTGGTCCCAATTGTCTGAATACAGCTGGGTTGGAGAAATGTTCTGGGGGCATTTTTTCAACCACTAAGCTGCCTGAGATTTTGTCTCCCAGTGGCTGGCCGAGACACTTTCTGTGTCTAATTGGCTGTCTCGTGCAGCATGCGACCGTTGTCAGTTTGCGGATGGTGTGTGGTGGCTTTCACTAGCACGCACCTGCACTGGCTTCACAGCAGCTCTCTCCTTGCAGTGAGAGCAGCATTCTGCTGAGGCAGACTGGAATACTGATACCAGACATTACTTGTGAGCAAAGACAAAGACACCAACACTTGACTTCACAAGTGCTAAAGTCAAGACACCTTCTTTTTACTTAACAGCCGCAATGCAGCTGAGGATCCTTTGCATCTTCAAGGAGCTATTAAACATAGCAAGCAATATATGCTTCTTTTGCACTGAAAAGAAGGAAGACCCGTCTCTCCGGCATAGATGCATAAGGTGAAATGGAGTAACTTCTGTAGCTGAGGGGTTTGAAATAGGATGGCGTAGCTGTATGCATGCTTTCACTTTGCCCGTTTGAATGCCAGCTGTTTTCGTCTTGTGTTTATTGAAGATGGCTTTATGCCTCTGGTTTATCTGCATGGTCTTCTGAAGACAGGGATTGTGTTTATCGCTCCGATAACAGAGTTGGTTGTTTCTCTGATGCCTGTGTCTGCAGACACTAGCCTGCATGTCTGCAGCAGCTTCATCTTGCTCAGTGCAGGAAGGGCACCACAGGATGAAGTTAGGAAGGGAATAGGCAATTTACAGAGTATTTCCAGCACAATTGATTCTCCAGGCAGGACTGAGTCGGGTGCCATAGACATTGTCTATGGAATGGGTGCTGTTGTTTTTGTGTTTTTTTTTATAATTTAGACTGCCTTCTGTTGTTTAAACTCAAATCATTAATGTCATTGTCACCTGATGACAATGGTAACATAGTATGTTACTCAAAGCTTAACTGCATCTGTTTTATAAGGAAACGTCATTTGTATCAGAATGTTTAATAGATTAATACCATCAATGATCCATTTTTATTTTTCAAAGAACAAAATGTCATTTTTTATATTTTTGAGGTGGTTCCAGTTCAAAATATTTCATACAGTGAATATTTGTGTTCCTAGGGTAATTATTAACTAAATTCTGTCTGCACTAATTTAAAGTACTACGCCAATACACTGTATAATTTAGTGTAAGAATATATGTGAATGTGTTGTAGATGGTATTATTAATATTTGTAAGATTCTATATAGAGTCGTTTAGCTCACGTGTGAATAATACCCAGTTTGGTTCTTTAAAAAATACAACAAAAAATTCAGAGTTTGCAAATTGTAAAAGAAACAACATTAACCACTCTTTTAACCACAGTCTTTTAACTAGAAACTTCTCAGCAGATAGAAGAAGTTGATTTTCTATAAAGCTTTTAAGGCAGAGTAACACATTTATTTTCTGTCACATCTGTGGTATCCAGTCTAGGCAAAATTTGATAAATGATTTGTATTTCATATTTTGTCTAGAATTAATAATTATTCATAAAGTAACAGTGGAAAGCATTGATCTCCCTGTCTAATATCCTGCGTAGCTGGGAGAGGCTCAGACAAGGACTGTTGTCTGTCTGTATGACTTGAAAAAGAAAATGACGTGAACTCATATATTCCCAATAACATTGTTATAGCAGGCATATTTAAAGGTAACATGACATAACATGTGAGTAATGATTAGAATGCTCACCCTAAATTAGTGAAATTCTGACCAATGTAAATCCATTAAAATTAGTTTAAAACAGAATTGGTCACATACTCTTTATTTTGTATACTTACACTTTATTAAATCAACATTCAGACACCAAGTAGTCCTTAGGAAGGATATAAAAAGCTTGGTAATGTCTCATCTTTTATCTCCAATTGGCAATAAATGTGACAATGCAACACCCAGGAGGAAGCCCAAGTCCTAATTTTACATCAAAGCATAAACGTATGATTATTCCTTATTTGCTAAAAATACGTATGAGTCCTCTTTTGATAGAAATAATTGAATTGGTATAGAAATTATAAAGTAGTCTTATCCAACCTTATGATGTATAGAAAAAGGGAACAGCCCACAATATATCTTATGTGATTATGAAACAACTGTATGGGCAAAATGACTATTAATGCTAATTAGTACAAATCCCCTTACATACATTGTATATTACCCTCATAGTGGATAATTAAGAAAATAGCTCATGAAAATAATATAAGGTTTAGTATTTAAGCTATTATGTCTTATGTATTAGTATGAAGAGGAAGGATCTAGAATGTGTTTCTTCTAAAGATTATACCTCTCTGGAAGCTTCTCTTCTCAGTGCCTGCATAACTAAGAAAGGGGACTGCACAATGAGCTGCAGTAAAATGTACAGCTAGTGGGAAACTCAAATTACAAGATCTTTTATAACTACAGTTTTCAGCTATTCTTTGTTTTTAGTACCTTTTTGTTCTTAATGCATAGTCCTTTCACATATGCTGTAAATAAGAAGTTAAACAGCTAACTCACTTTGCTGTAGATGAAATGAATTCTTTCATAGAATTCGTCTTGGATGCGGATGTATAAAAGAGTCACATTTGACCTTACTATTACAGTGAGCCCCCACTCACTTTGCTACTGTAGTTTCCATCTGGTGAAGGTGCTGAGACATTTTCAGAAAAAAATGACAAATCTCTGTTGACCCAAAGATTCCTTAAGATTTTGGCCACCATTATGAACCACAAAGCAGGCATTCAGTAATAATTGTGGCAATTATCTTCTAACAACTTGGAATATCTATTTCTAAATATGAGATTATCTGTTTTCTTTTTTGGTTTGATTTATAAAAGTCCTGCTCTTTTTTCATTACAGATTCTTCAACTTGAATATTTTCATCCTTTTCATTCCTTTCATTTCCCAGGAATTCCATTTAAAATCAGATTCTGATTCTCTCTTGCAAATACTTTTCAATCCACATATTTGTGTGAACTATTTTTGACAGTGACAGTGGATGAAAGTGATATGCTCTTTAAGACGTATTTGGTTTCTTTGGGTCTCTTGTACAAATTTAGATTTTTAACAACCCCATATAATCAAAATTGTATTCTCTCTGAAGTACACAAGAAACCGTTTGTTCCCTATTCAATCGGTATATTAAACGCAGCTAAGTGACTGTTTCTTGTATGGACCTATCGGATTATGTGTAATGGTAGGGTGATATGGGCAGAGAAAAGATGTCTGTATACAGTATGTATTGTAACACGTCTAAGACTATTGTTTATTTCTTAAGTGTATTTATTTTATTATTTTTTTGTAGGTTTGTATGGTGATGCCAAAGACACATTTCCAAATGCGTTGGGTTGGACAAGAAAGATATATCGTAAACTTATTTAAATCTATATAGTTTACCAGAACTCAACATACTTCATGAACAGTCCTCCCCCAAAGGGAAAATAACATTCAGGAAAAAAGTAGTACCAAAATAAAATATTGATTCCTCTTCCCAAACACCAGCATAAAGATCAGAATATATTGGTGCTACACAGAACGCATGGCAGTACAGTTAGATTTGAAGAAGAAAATAGGGCAAGGAGACATAAAATAATGGTTATTATGTTCCAGAGCCTAGACATTTTCAACATGAGGAATATAGTGTAAAGGCTGTCTATATTTAAACAGTAAGAATAGATTTATCTGACATAATATCACATTGTATTATACAATCTTGTCAAGATTTTATCACAGATAAACTCTGCCATTGCTCTTATCAGTGATATCTCGATGAAGACACTTGATTTTGATCATGGTCATTTGTCATGTAATTATATGTAGGTTGCTAGCATATATCAAGTTAATAAATCTTTTATCTCTCTTTTTAAAACAAGGTCTGGATATCAGGCAAATCCTTTTGTAGTCGTTCAACAATAAGAGGCATTAAATGTAACACTTATTTGGTGTTAAGAACGCTAATTTAATCACCCCAATTCAGTGTGTGAATTTTGTTTATCTCACTTGAACACCTATTAGCGTGGACGTAGAACTCCACCTGGGCAAAAAACATCACATGTTCCGTGGAAGAATCTACAGATCTCCTATAGATCTAAAAATGTGAATAGATGTTATATGTGGAATAGAAACTTCTAAGTCCTTATATTCAAGACTTTTTATGAATTCACATCATATAACTAAAGGAAACATCAAGGGAACTTTAAATCTCTCACTAATTGCTTAACAAATCTCAGTGGATAGCTGCTTGGCTACAAATGACCAAGTAAAGGTTAATTACAAGCTGAAAGGTAGAATGAAAGCACAATATTTCAGATGTTAATCCTCTTTCAGGTGTGATAAATTGTGTATACCAGGTCCACATTTCTTTGTTTCTTTCTATACTGTACAGGTCATTTAAAGTCTGCATGTCTAGCAGTTTACTTATGGCCACTGAATTTTTTCCTAAGGCCGGGACTCTAATCTTAAACTAGTGTGGTTGAAAGGAGCATTGTGATTTTTATACATTAGAAGAACAGTAGCTTGTCTGAGTGTTCCCAAGTGGCTCAAGTGCTAAACACTATGCAGGTTGAGTTCTTCGGTCTAGACATCATTAATTCACAAATCATACCACAAGTCAGCTGTGTCCAGTGACTGGGATTCCAATACACTTACTCCAAGGGTTGGGGCTTAGAGCATTCAGCCAGGATTCCCACCAAAAGCATCAACCCCTGTGCCTGCAGGCTTGTGGTGATGTCATTGATTGGCGTGCCTTTCCTCCAATCAGCACTTGTCTTCTTGTACATCATTGCAGGGCTTGGAGCATGTCAAAAGATGATTGGCTTGATTAATAATTCCAGATTGAGTGAGTAGTTAAATTATTTGTGATTCTAAGTTTATTTAAAAAAGGTAATACCTTGAGATATGGGTGTGGCACAGTGATGCAGTGGTTAGCATTGCTGCCTTGCGGCACTGGGGCCCTGGGTTCAAGTTTGTATGTTTTCTCCCTGTTTTCGTGGGTTTCCTCCAGGTGTTCCAGTTTCACCACGTAGTGGTAAGTTAATTGGCTCCTGGGAATTTTCCTGGGAAAATTGGTCCTGATGTGAGTGTGTGTGTGTTTGTGTCTGCGTGCCTGGCCTGTCTGCATTACCTGGGTATAGGGTGTATCTCACCTTATGTGCTTTGCTTGCTGGGATAGCCTCCAGCTCTCCTGCGACCCTGGATTGCATGGAGCAGTTGGAAAATAG